TTTGTTGTTATATACCTGGATGACTGAGAAAACAAACTTTGTGTTTTTGAAACCATTAGTGAAAAGGCCAGACTTCAGGGGTATCTGAGGCAGGCTTGAAACACAAGAGTCAGGGTGGCTTCTGGGTAATACCAGATGGCTAGGCCTCAGACTGACGAAGCCTCTTGGATGAGGGGCGAAACGTTTCTTTTTAACAAAAAACGAAGTCCAGATGACATGATTCAACTCTCACACCGTGTCCTAGACAGGGCACGATTTGAGGCATCAAAAAACTGGGAGTTGTGTTTAGAAAATAAACATCTCAGTTTCTCTGATACTCCCTCAACATACGGAATGACCACTGGTCTGGGTCTGGGTTCCTCCTTTTCACCTGATGGCTGACTGGAGTCCTGTTTGGGTTTCTTCTCTGCTTTCAGGAAGGCCCAGTTAGGATATCCACATTGCTCTAGAGCCTGTTTTGTGTAGGATTTCTCCTTCTGCCTGGCTCCTGAGTTAGTGGGGATGCTGTCTGCTCTGTGATACAGAGTCCTGATGACTCCTAACTTGTGCTCCAAAGGGTGATGGGAGTCAAACTGCAAATACTGGTCTGTGTGGGTGGGTTTGCGGTACACCTCAGTTTGCAAATGTCCTCTATCAGAGACTGAGACCTCACAGTCCAAGAAAGCCAACCTGCCATTTTTTACATCTTCTCGTGTGAACTTGATGTATTTATCCACAGAGTTGATGTTGTAGCGGGATATGGGGTTGGATATATATATTGTAAATGATCAGTTATGAGTTAAGCTCATAAGATATGCATTTATTATGCAAATAACCTCGTTGTGGGCACCACCTTTTTTCAGAGGAAAAATCAGTCTCTAACCCCCAAATTAAATGTAAACTGAAACGTGAATTATTTTCTCATGTTTAAAGGGCATCAAATCAGTTAGTACACACAGATATGCCAAAATAATCATAAATTTAGTTGATTTTATGTATTTTATTACAAAAATAATAATCTGTGATATATCTTTTGAAGATTATGCATAACAAACCAATGAATAACAAAATAGTTTTGCATCAAAGGTCAAACTGGTTATTCAAATCAGTGAAACTTAAAAAGGCAGATTTTGGACTAGTTCTGTTTGTAAAGTAGTTGAAATTGTGTCTAAATGAGCTGTAGTGTGTATAAAGCAATATTATTGTGATGCATGATCACCAGAAAGGCATTAAGGGTCTCTTTCTCACCAGAACGAGCTGTCAGAATGTTCCAACTGCTTAAAATGATACCAGCAAGGCCTGAGAGGCTCCGGTGACTGAAAGGCGGATTGTGTTCTCAAAAGTCACGATCACTGTTGGAGGGACGAAGGTCCGGCCACTGGCTCTGAAGTCAGCTGGGATTTATCACTCTGTGGTGTGATATTCTGGTTCAGTCAGGTTCTCTCGTCCTGAGACATTTGCAGAAAAGGCTGCTTCTCTCTCGTTTTCTTCCTTCCTATGATATCTCACTAGGAGGATGAGTCTTTCTCTGAAGTTTGCTCGAAGTTCAGTGCTTGAAGAAGAAGTGGTGAAGAAGATGTGATGTAGAAGAAGTGAAACTTAACTTAACTGTCTGTGTGTTACAGATTGACTTTGGTCCACCTCTCGGAAGAGGGGTGGTCCTAACTCTTTGTCATGTTTGATAAAATCTAATGTCCATTTTCTCTGTCTGCCTTTAAAAGTCACTCTTCTTTTTAAAAGAGAAAAACATAAGACAAGTGATTATCTTAAAGAGAGATTATTTAAACAGACATTTTCATAAATAATCATTCAGTTCTGA